GAGCGGCATTTGTTCTGGAACGAGGAAACAAAAAGTCGCTTCACAGACTATTCTATGACCTCCTCAGTCATGAGGAGAAACGAGCAGCTGACCCTGCACGACGAGAGGTTTGAAAAGGTGAGGCCCCCAATGATGTTGTAATGTCTTTTTTTTTAAGTGAGAGGTTGAACCCAGAAGCCTCTTCTTTTTCTTAAAACCCATGCTAGATTTAATTTGGGAAGAAATGTGTATAGCTTCAGAGGGCTGGTGATCATTCTGATTTTCTATTTTCCTAGGCATTGGCCTGAGCACAACACAAATACCACATCTTTCAATTACTTATGTTTGGAGTTTTCAGGCATAATTAATACTAATGAACAGAAGTGAAATGGAGTATAAGATGCTTTAAAAGCCTGAATTGTAATATACTAGATTTGGCTGTCCTGTGACAGCCTGGCTGCAGGGTGTGCAGACCCGTCCCACAGCCTGTTTGTGCAGATTGCTGTCCACCTGTCCTGTCCTGTCCTGTAGCACTTACTGCCTCCTGACGTCTCTAATATGCTTATTATGTATGTTCTATACAAGTTTGTCTCGGATTAGAATGTGAGTTCCCCAAGGGCAAGGATTCTTGTGTGATTTGCTCACTGGTATGTGAGCAAGCCCTAAAGTAGTCTCTGGCAAATAGTAGGAGTTCACGTTGTTCAGTAAATGTGAGCCAGCGAAGGAATGACTTCCTTCAGGATCAACCCAATACACAAGTTCTAACTTTGCTATGTTCTCACAAGTGTAAATTTCCCTGTCAAGAGAGCCCAGCTGTTGTGAGCAGCCACTGAGCAGGAGATACATCACACCCACTGTTCTTCCACAGAGCCTGATCATGTTAACAGCATTTCAGTAATGTCATAGACATTGACTAAGCAATAACAAAATCTATAGAGTAATAGGCTGTATTCCATTCCACAATCTTTTGGTCTTACATAGTCAAGGAATTTGGAAGAATTTGTTAATGCTGTAAGATAAAGAACTCTGACTACATTATTCTCCCCAGTTTGTTTGTTTTTTTTTTCATGTTAAATGAACCTTGTTTTCAATCTTAAGTGTGAATCTAAACGTACTGGCATAAGCCAGCTGCCACTGGCTCATTCCTGTAATCTTAGCTACTCAGGAGACCAATATCTAGAGGGTTGTGGTTCAAAGCCTGCCCAGGCAGAAAAATCGAAAAGACTGTATCTCCAAAATAACCAGCAGAATCTGGAAGCACGGCTCAATGGCAAAGTGCCAGCTGAGCAAGCAAGAAAGCTGGTGCCCTCAGTCCAAATCCTGTTGCTGGTTAAACAAGTTAATTGGTTAGTTAACTTACTAATTGTTAAAGAAATACTAGCCTAAAATGTTTTCAGTGCCTCTTTTGTTATGGTGCTACATCCCTTCCCTTCCTTCCTTCTATCCTTCCTTTTTTGTTTGTTTTTTGTGGTAGTTGGGATTGAACTGAGGGCCTTGTACTTGTACTTGATAGACAGGCAGCTACCACTTGAGTTCCACCCCCCAGCCCTATTTGCTTTAGGTAGGATATCACTTTTTTCCCCTTGACCAGCCTCGAGTTTGATGCTTCTGTTGATATTTCCTATGTGGTTGGGGTGACATGAGGGTGCTACTTCACATCCAGCTTTTGGTTGAGATTGGATCTGAGTAGGCACTGCTAATATTGTAACAGTGGTTATGATCTTATAATAATAATAATGCTTAAAAATGACATAGGAAAAAAGTTAACGTAAAAGTCATATTGAAATATTGTTTCATGATGTCTCTTTTTAAGTTTTATGAACAATATGATGATGTTGAAATTGGAGCTCTGGATAATGCTGAATTGGAAGGTTCCATTCAGGTCGACAGCAACCGCTTGCGGGAAGTTTTGAATGACTACTTTAAAGAGAAGGCAGAGAAGTATGGCGACTTTTCTTTCCCTCGTTCTGCTGCAGTTTTCTGTCCCCAAATGGTATCTGTAGGTGCACAACTGAATTATGGGAAATGGTCCACCTCATTAGAATCCATTGTTAAGGAAATAATGTTTTCAGTAATCTTGGGTTTGCACTCTCGTATGTTGGGCCTATATTTTGATATTAAGAGTTTTGAAGCTAAATGTGATGGTAGGAGCATAGAGGGAACCACTATCTCTCTATCATTTATTTGCAGATGTTGTGGTAGTATGACAGAATGGGAGGGAGGAAAACACACTGGCCTTGGAGAGTATCATGGCGCTTGTAGCTTCTGGCTGGATAATTACTTCAACTTACACATTTTCATTTCATTGTTGAAATAGCTGGGCAGTCTGAGAAACAGATGTGGTAACAATGAAGAGCTTTTCTTTCCAGTTGGATTAGCAGAATTGACTTAGCAAGTTATTTGTGAATCAGCATCTGCATCAAAGTGACTTCTCTGAGAAGCTGATGAGCTGTTCAGATGTAAGCAGGTCAGATGCTGGGTGATCACTTGCTGGGAAGATCCCACGGCAGGAAAGGAGTTACATACTTTAAATCTATGTCTGTTGTTTGAAGAGATGGATGGGCAATGATTTCCCAGGCTTGTAAAAAGCCTCTTTTCCATGGGAAATTCCCATGTTTGTTTAGTATATAAAATAAGTCATGCAACAGTACAGATAGTTCTCACCTACTCTTCAAAGCAGAGTGAATGTTCAAAACCAATTGGAAGGGCAAAGTAAGGCTGGACCTAGTCAAGTTTATCAAGCACAGGAATGTGAGGTTTTAGAAATTGCTGCTGTTCCCATAACTGTTCTCATCAACCTATACTAATGGGTGTGTTTTCTCTCTCTCTCTGTCTCTCTGTCTCTGTCTGTCTCTCTCTCACTCTCACCCACCGTTTTTTCTTTTTTTAACTCAACCAAAAGTTGTGTTAAATTGAATACCCTTGAACCCTTTGAGGATCAAGACCTGCCACTGAATGAGCTCCACGAGTCTGAGGAGGAAGAGCTCATTACTGTAGTTCTGGAAGAAGCCAAAGAGAAGTGGGACTGCGAGTCCATTTGCAGTGAGTCCCTGTTCTCCATCCACTCCCGCCTCAGGACCAGCTAATCTGAAGGGTTTAGCAATCTGAAGGGTTTAGCATACACTTCAAAGAAGTGCCTGTATTTCAGTGGAAACTAAGCTTTTATGGGATTTATGGAGAAGATTTTATTCCTAGAACTAAGTTGTAAACAATTTTAAAAGACTTCCCCCAAGAGATCCTAGTGTTGTTTTTGTACTATAGAAACACTAAGGCCAGGAAGGTGATAATGCTTTGCTGAAAGTATTCATAATTGATACAGATCTCTCTCTCTTTCCTCTTAAAAGGTACATACTCTAATTTATACAATCATCCACAGCTTATCAAGTATGAACCAAAGGTAAGTCCTAGTGTCCTGAGGTTTTTTTGAATATCTAGTACAGAAAGTGGAGTTGGGAATATTCTCACAGTTTTATTCCTTTGGGCTGGTGCTATTAAGGAAAAGTATGCACCATAATGTTGTTAGTGATCTGTTAGTGTGGTGTTAGTGAGAAATGGAAATAACTCTGGTACATTTCCTTTCTGTTTCAGCCCAGGAAAATCCACCTTTCTTCTAAGACTGGAATACCTCTCAATGTCTTACCTAAGAAAGGACTTACAGCAAAGCAGGTTGAACGAATGCAGATGATTAATGGCAGTGACCTGCCTAAGGTGTCAGCACAACCACGGTCTAAAAATGAAAGCAAAGAAGATAAAAAAGCAAGAAAGCAAGCTATAAAAGAGGAACGCAAGGTAAAATACATTTTCCAGATGTGAAATTTGCAAAGCGCCCGTGGACGGGAGGTTTCTGGGAGTTTGTTTTGTGGCCTTTTGTGGAAGTAGTCTATCCACTTGAAGATTTATATTATAATGGAGAATCTTCTCATGCAGGAACGACGAGTGGAAAAAAAAGCTAACAAGTTAGCATTCAAGCTGGAGAAAAGAAGGCAGGAAAAGGAGCTGCTGAACTTGAAGAAGAATGTTGAGGGTCTAAAGCTATAGCTAATGGAAAGTTCAGAATAAGCCACCTTCGCATCTGGGGCCTCTCATGTTCAATAATCACCCAGGGTCTTCAGAGACACAAAGCTATTTGCTTTACCATTTGTGCTGGCAAATATGAGGAGAAAAATACAATATTTGTATTATTTTTGTACCAGCAAGTTTCCCGTCAGCTGTCTTGTAAATATTGTAATGTTTTAAATTTAATATTATAAGCTTAGATTTCCTCTGAAATAAATGACTTCATGGATGTGAAATGTTTGGATAAATTAAAGGCAAACATAACTTGAATGGATTGGTGTGTTCATTTATTTGTATGGTTGTCATAGTTGTTTGCTGCAGATGTTCTCAAATATTTCTTTGAAACCTCTCCACGCCTTTTCAGGAATTACATGGTTTAATTTGCTGTATGTAGAAAAGTGGCCTGGTTAAGCTCAATTCTGAAATGCTGACTTTATGCTGCTCAGTGGTGAGAAGAGTTCTCCTGAGAACATACCACTGGTAGGAATCTTGTTTTCCCCTCTGGATACAAAGGGACCATTTCAGAAGGATGTAAATCTGAATGTTAAAGTTGTTAGGATTCACATTTCCTGTTATGTTACTGAGTGCTTTGGGGATTTAAGAACAGTGATAGTAGGAAACAATAGTTGAAGTAATCAAGAAAACTTGGCTTTAATGAATCCCTTAGCTCAATATCAAGAATACTTTCTTCAGTTTAAATTAAAAAGTTTATCTTCTCGCATTATTTAATGCCTGGAACTGTCTGACTTGATTAAAGTACATAGTTGAAATTTTTGCCTGTTTTTTAACATCTGTAAACTGTTTCAATGTTTAGGTAATGACACCATCATAATTATTAATTATTTGGTAAACTGTGACACTTTGGAAGCTAGTGGCACTGAGGACACCTGTCCATTTGTGCTTGAATTGGTGTCACCTGGACTAAACTAAAACTGGAAACAATGTTGTCCTGAGTGAGGAACAGAATGATTGGGGCAGAATCATTTTGGTCTGGTGAGCCACAATTGATACCTAAGTTATTAGAAGTGCCTTCTCTGTAAATCAGTTGATTATGATTTTCCAAAGCTGGTAGGCATAACTTGCCCTACTAAGTGTTAGCACTTTAAATTTTTGTGGGATTTTTTTTTTTTAAAGCGAGAATAGTACTTAATGTTCTACCACTATTGGTTTAGGACGGCTTGGAGCTCAGTGCTTGTGGCTCAGGCCCGTAATCCCAATGACTTGGTAGCTGAGGATGGGAGGATCTCAGTTGAAGGCAGAAAAGCTCATAAGACCCCTTTCCGGCTGATAGCTGGGTGCAGTGGCTTATGTCTGGCCATCCTCAGGCTATGAGAGTGATTAAGAGGATCAAGGTTATAGACCTTGATCTGCGTAGGCAAAACAGTACAGAAGACTTCATAGAAGAAAGCTGGGTGTGATGGTGTGAATGCCTGTGATCACAGCCAACAGGAAGCCTACAGTAGACATGGAGGCTCTGGCATGTACCTACACACAACCCTAAGCTAAAAATGACCAATTTAAAACAGGGCTGGGCCTGTGGCTCAGGTATAGCACCAACCCAACAGGTGTGAGGACCTGAATACAAACCCTAGTATTACCAAAAGCAAATAACAAACCTGGCTGAAGAGCTTCATACTGTGAGAGTAAGGTTCTGGAATATGCATTTAAATGCCAGCTTGCAGGAGTGAAGGTTCATTTGGTGGTTTCTGTGAGTATTACAAACGTAAATCCTAAAAGAACTGACCACTTACTTTAGTACCTATCTCTGTTCAAGGGTCTCAAAACCAGAAAGAGTCTTGCAGCCACTGGCTGTTAACTTGGTCCTAGTGCTATTCAGATTCTTCTAGGGTTTAAATCAGCATGTTACACATATTTTACCAATTAAGAGAATGTGACTAAAAGCCACAAGTTTTGATTAAGCGTATCGTGTTTAGGCTGATTATGCCTCAAGCTTAAAGGTCTTAATTCTATTCTGGAGGAAGGAAAAAAATTCATAGTAATTTAAACAAATTTGCTAATACTTTTATTTTATCCCTTCCTCCCCCAACACGTACATACCAATCCTGAATCCATCTTCCCACACTCAGCCTTTAAGTTGGCTAATATTTTAGTCATCTGTAAACAGTGGATGGGAACTGAACATATAAGCTCCATGGTAAATGGTGGATGTTCTCAGGGATAAGAGGGGCTTTGCCTTTAGGAACTGTTAGCATAGATAACCAGTGAAGCTGTCACTGAGACAAGTACCACTTGTAATGAGTTCCTGGGTACTCTCACTTCCAGGGGAAGGCCCTCCTCATATGCTTATGTGTCACCTTCCCCATAAGCTTTCTCCCGTGTGACATTCAAAAATAGCACACCCAGCGCTGGTAGTTACATAGGCTGAGCTCTGAGGGTCATGGTTCAAAGCCAGCCTGGGCAGGCAAGTCCGTGAGACTAATCTCCAATGAACCACCAGGAAGTGGAGCTGTGGCTTAAAGTGGTAGAACACTCGCCTTGAGCAGAAAAGTCCAGGAACAGTGCCCAGGCCCTGAGTTCAAGCCCCATGACTGACAAAGATGAGAGAGAGAGACATACTGCACACGCACCTCCCAGTATTCTGACCTCTATATAACACATTGGAATAAGGAACCATGTTCCAGTCTACCCAGAGCAATCTTGCAGAGTGATTTTGTTCACTGCTTTATCTCCACATCTAAGTCAGTCTCTAGCATATGAATGAATGGATACATGGAAAAGGCATTTCAAAAAAAGAGTTACTTGAGGGACAACAGTACCTACTCACTGGCTTAGCGAGCCAAAAGGCTGACGTGGCTGTGCTGTGGAGGCTGAGATCTGAGGATTGTGGTTCAAAGCCTGCTCGCGTAGACAAATCTAAGATACTCTTAACCAGTAAAAAGCCAGAAGTGATGGGATGCCAGCCTTAAGTAGAGGGGGAAAAAAGTGATCCCAGATAGGGAACAAAGTCATGATTTTGCCTACTAAATTTACTTAAACACTGTTTATGATAGATTTTTTTAAACCACCGTGTTAGGTACCTCGGTACACATTGTCATTTTAGCAGTACCAAAGTTCTATCTTTATTTCTGTCTTAACTGCTCGTAGCACTTGAGTGGGTTGTGATGAACTGTATCCGGTACCCCAACCTTCACAGTGATGTCACCAGATCACCTCAGGTGAAGGACAGAATTCTAATCATCTTGTCGCTACTCTTCAAGTTTTTATTGCTTTTATGTTGTTTCCCCATATGTGTTGACAGTGGTTTGTTTTATTAAGCTTGTTTGTTCTACTTAAAGGGCAGGAGAGAAAAAAAAAATAAAGGGCAGAAGAAGGTAAAAATTCCAGTGACCTTATATTTTAGTTGTGAAGTTTATGAGAAAATATATAATGAAATCCTCCCCTGTATAACTGATCTAAACCCATAAAATATATATATAATAAAGCAATAATATATACATAATACAGCAAACATACGATCCCACTATACAAGGTAAATAGTAGCAGAAGCCACTTCTGAATCTAGATTTAATTTCATTCTCCCTTTTCCCTCAGGAAACTTAGTCATCAATAACCTATCCAGGCTGTTACATGAAACATTTTCTTAGCAAAAAAGAATATTAGGAAGCTGAAACGTATCTTCTGAGGGTGAAGGGAGGTTAAATGCTAGTGAAAGGAGAGGGAAGGAAGGCAAATATAATATTCAATGTTCTTTTGTGAAAATGCACAAAGAAGCAATGAGACTTGAGAAGAAGGAGGTAAGATGGGAGAGAGTGACAGGAGAAGAGAAAGTGACTGAAGTGTGACTTATCAAGATACATTGTGTACAGAAATGGGCACCTTAACATGAAACCACCTTACATAACTAATTGATGACCATAAAATTACTGCTAAAAACAAACACCTGCCAGGTATCCTTTATCTTCATTCTTGAACAACTGCGGAAGAAGCACAAACTAAGCTCCATGAGCGTGGCACCTGCTCCCATTCAGTGAGTGTCTTAGGGAAAATGAACGGAACAGGCCCATGGGTGTGACTTCAGCTTCCAGAATTTTACAGGAGCCCATGTGCACAAGTCACCACAATTGGGCCATCCTGGATCTGAACGAAGGGTTGTGTACTCAGTTGTATTTTCTGTCTCAAGCTCTCCATGACTTACCTACACAAAGACTCACCTCCACATCTCAATACAGAATCTTCCTGTCGGGTGACATGAGTGTCAGCTCAAGTAGACATCAAAAAGCAATAAGAGGCCACATCATTGGGATAGGGTTGTACAGGCCAAATGTCAAGCAGAATGGGAGCCAGCGTTCCTTGGGTGTACTAGCTCAGATTACAAATGTAGCATTCACTCACTACCTTTGTCCTGGTAGCCACTGGCAACACAGTTTCCAATCACCTCCAACCCTGGCGGGTTGCATTCTGATTCAGGCAAGCAACTGTCATCCTTGGAATGCCCGTCTCTGCAATGTCAAATTGCTTTTTTACTCAAATTTGGTGAATCACATTCCAAACTATTTACAAGTAAGATTTGGGGGGATTTAAACCTTTTGAGAATTTGGATGTATGAAAGTGTATTCTACCCTCTGGATGTATAGTTAAACTGGAGATCAAATTCTAGGTTGTAGTTTGAAACACTTTGTCTCATTTTCCCATTGAACTGTTTGGGAATGAGTTTGTCATTGCTGGTTTGTTCCTCTGAATCCGTGGAATCTGTCTTTATTCTTCTTTCACAGTGATGCTTGTTGTAAATCTACCAAATCAGAGCCCCATATCCTTCTAGAAATGGTTCAAAATTATGTTTATTTTCTTACATTTTCTTTTTTCTCTCCAAGTATTATACCTGGACTGGTACTCTTAATTTGCTTATGATTCAGTCTCTTAGTTTTGTCTTCCAAGTTGCTATTCATTTCTCCTGCAAGTTTTTGGGTTTGTTTTTGTTTTTTGCATTTGCAACAACTTTAAGTTTCCTTTAAATTACTTGTTTGTTTTGACTCACATACTTAAAGACACTCTTCAGATACTTGGGAACTCTTCGCTGTTATGATTACATTAGAGGGGAAAAAAAAACAGAATTCTGAGAGGGTGAGTAGCATTGGACTGGGCTTTATTGTAGGGTCTGGACTGGCTCTTGGAATCTCCCAGTATCCATATCCTTAGGTTTTTATTTTCTTGTGAAATTACTAACCTTCCCAAGGAAGTTGCCTTCCTGCCTTGAATGTACAAATCTGGTAGGCAGAATTCTAGACCAGGAGAAGAGGAAGTCAGGCATTGGTGTTCTCTGCTCTCACTATCACTATCCAAGATAGCAATCACTCAATTTTTGCATTTGGACAATGTGTGTACATCTAGTCACATGCATACACAGTCCTCATTACTGGATTTTTATTCATGAATCCACCTACTTGCTAAAAGAGAGAAAGAATGTCTCCTGCTTTAAAAACAAGTGAGAGAAAATCAACATTTAAGGCTACATAAGGTAGTGGAGGGTTATAATTCCAGGACTTAGAAGCAGAAGCCAGGAGGATTATGAGTTCAAGGTCTGGGATATAGTGTGATTCAAGGCAAGTTTGAGCTTTGTAGAGAGGCCCTGTCTCAAAATTCCAAGGGGGAGGGATGTAACCGGATGGAAGCACATTTGCCTAGCATGCTTAATGTCCTGGGTTTGACCCCTCCTAATCAAAAGTAAAAAACAAAAAGAAATTCCACTTCTTTTCTCTTACGCTCTCTATGTTTCTTCTTCTGTGTGTGTGTGTGTGTGTGTGTGTGTGTGTGTGTGTGTGTATCCGGTCGTGGGCCTGAACTGTGGGCCTGGGCGCTGTCCCTCAGCTCTTCAGCCCAAGGCTAGCACTCTACCACTTGAGCCACAGCGCCACTTCCGGCTTTTTTCCTTTTTGCTTATGTGGTGCTGGGGAATCGAACCCAGGGCCTCAGGCCTGCAAGGCAAGCGCTCTACCACTGAGCCACCTTCCCAGCCCTCTCCATGTTTCTTCTAACACTGCTTCATTCTTGATATCCTAAGCAAAACTGTTGTTTACTGCCAGATCATGTTTTCTCATTTGGAAAAATTTTGAACATTATAAAGCAACATTTAAAATTAAAAGCCACCATCACAGTTGACAAAGTATGGTTCTGAATAAAGACGGGAAACATAGAAATAGCTGTTGATAGTATAGTTGTAGCTGTTTTTCTATTGAAGGGGGTCTTGTAGGAGTAAAAGTCATTCATTTATTCTGTTTTTAAAATAGTCATGCATAATCTTTGTTTAAATAAAGTTTAATGTAGGAAACTAAAAGTGGTAATTCTCACCTCTCTAGTGTACTGTGTGTCTTTCTCACTTATCAGTTGGCAATCTAGTTCTGCAAAGGGCCAAATAGTATAATTCTTTGCTTTTGCAGGTCATAGGTTCCCGCAATGAGGGCAACAATAGAGATTATTTTGGTTTTTTCCTTAGTATGTCTGCGATTGTGTCCCCAAGAAACCAGATTTGGGGCATAGGTCCCAGTTTACTGACTCCTATATATTATTTTCAAATGTCTTATTTTGATATAATTTAAGTCTCACTAGTAGGTACAGAATAGCATAGAGCGATTCCATGCGCACTTTACCCAGGATCCCCCTCCAAGTTACACTTTAAGTTTGGCACATCGCCAGAATGAGGTACAATGCATGTCATGGCTCAACGCCATTTTACAACATGCGAACCACTCTGGTGATGAAGATACAGATCTAGCCCATCACACATATTGCTTTCTTTCCACCCTATATAGACACAACCTTCTTCCTCCCCACAAAACACTGCTACCCCTTGACTATCTAATGGTTTTATCACAAATGTTCTCATTTTGAGACTAGTATATCAAAGGAATCATTCAGGGTGTGCTTTTTGAAATTAGTTTTGTTTTTCTACTCAGGATGGAAATTCATACATCAATAGTGTCCCTTTCTTTTGCGGAGTAGTATACCATGGCTGGTTTAGCCATTCCCCTATTGCAGGTCTTTCCAGGGGTCGGTTTTATGGCTGAAATAATCTCATCTTCCGTGTGATTCAGCATACAATCACAGATAATTCGGCCCACCGTCATCACCATGTTTTATTCAGCTTGCTGGGGGCAAGCATCCGCTTCATTATAAACAAGCTTCCAAATTGAACATGGTTTAGAATGCAGTGGTCCATTTATATCCAAGGTTTGAGTTGAGTCATATCTATTATTCTTCTAAACTTCTTGAACTTGTTAAAAACTCACTGATTTAAACCAGAGCACTGATGGATCCTCCTGAGACTTCCACAGGCTGGGCAGGTAAGATCCCTGGTTACAGTCCTGACTGTCTTCATTGTCTTGATGCTTGCAAAGACAGATTCAGGCCTGAATCTCAGTGTCACCATTTACTACCTGCGGCCTAGAGAAATCACCTAACCTTGAGCCTCCATTTTCTCATTTGTTCAAGTCCTTCCAGCTCTTCCTCACAGTGTTATTGTGAGAAGCACATGAGATAACACAGGAAAGGCATTTAGGAGGCAGAAGACAACACAGAAATATGTTTTATGAAAAGGGATTATCCCTCAGGTTTTTGGGGAAAAAAAAGCAGTTTTCTAATCAGGATGAGTCTACTTAATGAACAAATAGCCTCTAGGTGGTTGAGGTTTTACAAAACAACAACTAAAGATCTCAGAGCCAGCTTTACAGAGCCTGAACGCCCAATGGACAGGAGGGAAGGGCTCTGCTTTGTGCGGAGATGGATGACCTGTGTTGAAAGTACAATCCCAATTAACAGACGTGAGAAGAAATTATTTAAATCAACGACATCTGCAGCAGGCTACCCATCTGCTTCCCGTTAGCCAGACCTTCCTCTCGCAGCTTGTCTTCCCCTGGTTTCCATGACCCTGTTCTCCCCTGCTTCTCCTGGCTTATCACCATCATTTTCTTGGCCCTTCACTGTAAGTTTCCCTAAGGAGCTTCTCTGTACTGCCTTTCCATGACTTCTTCCCTGGCAGTATCATGCTTTACTTCATTCCTCAAAGCCTGCATCTGTGTCCCTGACCTCCCTCATTTCCATCCTGCTGACTGCACAGCTCCATTTCAACTCAGTATTTCCAAGGCTGAGATCATTTTTCTTCTTAAGATGGCCTTTCTTTTCAAACTCCCTATTTCTATCCACAGCCCCATCGTCTTCTCTGGCCTTCTCTATGAACTTAGTATGGTCCTTGAGGGTTGTATTTGGTTTGGGTTTTTTTTTTCCCCTCTGTCTGAACCCAGCCAGCTCCCCACAAGAGTAGGCCTTTGGTGAATTCTTTGATCCTGAGTCTCCTGTTTCCTCTTTCCTTCTCATTTCAGTCTGCCTCGGGCTGCCGTCTCCCCTACTTTGGTTGTGTAAGTTGTCCCCAACTCTGCGTAGTTCTTCCCTTGAAGAACTCAGTGTCCTGATAGCTGCTCTTGCTTGTGGAATAATGCCCAGATTATTCTTCTCATATAAATCTCCATGCTCAGATCTGAAATTTTTTTAAAAAATCATTTACATACTCAATCTACAGGAACTAAAAGGAAATGACCTAAGGTGAAATCATTAGACATCCACAATGTTTTGCATTTCTCTGGACACTTTTCTAACTTAAAGTAACTTATCTTCCTATTTTCTCTCCTTTGTGCTGGACCCATGTATGGTTTCTCTCAATAGAATTGTATATGGGAGACACTTGATTAAATGTATGGTTGGATCTTATGGTAGAGACTCAATTCTTGTTTGGCCTTTTTTTCCCCCTCTTGTTGCAGGTACTGGGGCTTGAACTCAGGACCCCTCACTCTTACTTGACTTTTTCATTCAAGGCTGGTGCCTCTACCACTTGAGCCATAATTCCACTTCCAGATTTTTGCTAGTTAATTGGAGATAAGAGTCTCATGGACTTTCCTCCTTGGGCTAGCTTTGAACCTTGATTCTCAGATCTCAGCCTCCTGAGTAGCTAGGATTACAGGCATGAGCCACCAGCTCCCAGCTTTGTTTGGCATCTATCTTTAACCAGTGTTTATTGGGCACCTTTCTGTGGGCTGGATCCTGTGAGTCACCGAAGTATAGTACTGACAGCCTCAAAGCAATCTCAAAGGGGATACCCATTGGATCGTTCATTGCTAACATTACCATGTAAACTCGGTGCTTTCGTCTAAAACATAGTCGTCAGGCACTGCAGTTAAGAACATATTAAGTACTAAATCACGTAATTACACTCTGGCCGCCTGAAGGCTGTGACATTTACTCGTTTGGGGAGGCAAAAGGAAACAGGTGAGAGTGTGTACATAGGATCTTCCCAGGAGGAGGGAGCCATCCATGGTGGGGACGGAAGGCTGCAAGGCTCGTTGAGGTCACCTCCAGTCCATCGAGTGTTCTGGGCCAGGCAATTCCATGAAACTAACATAATGTGCTCTTGACTCTCACGCAGATGGACATCAGGAGTTATTTCCCTGTGAAGTCTGTGGAAGATGCTTCGCAGCAGATGTCCTGGTAAACATAAAGACATTTTGTAGATGTGTTTCATTGGAGTTAAATGAACTGTCAAGTCAGTGAGGAGGCGGTGGTGCCAAGATTAAAGACAGATGTGGAGGGGAGGGGGGGAGCATGGGAAGAAGCGAAGCACACAGCCTGGCTGCCAGGCCTGGAGCGCACGGAGGCAGATCGATGCCACCATGTTCTGAAAAGTGACCCTGTTCCACAGGACCCTCCTGAAAGCCGGCCAGATGGAAGGGGCTTGGCACATTCCATTATCCCTTGAGAAATTTTGGCTCTTCCGCCTTTTCTTTAAGCATCAAAAATTCAAATTTCAAGGCCAAAACACCAGGGAAATTAGCTAGTCAAGAAGAATGAGCATTGAATTTCAGGCATCTGGAAACTTGGCTTTTAGCTGCAAATTTGTCACTAATTCTGACAAGTCCTTTAACCTCCTGTTTTCGACTTTGCCACGTATACAGAATCCTCCGATTTGAGGGGTTTTATACCATTTGAACAAAATAATATATGAATGCAAGGCTTGTTCTGAAATCGAATTGTTATCTGCATTCAAACTGTCTATTGTGTCCCGTTGGTAGCTTTAAAGCTGACTAAAAGCTTGATTCACTTCGCACGCAGGGGCTCAGATGGAGGGTAGACCCTGGTATTGTAAAGAGATTCCCTCCCAAAAAGATGATTTTTGTGAAAAGGAAATTTCTAAAGCGTTCATGCAACCCACACCCAGGACATTTAGATGAGAATGATTTAAACTGAATGTACAGGGTCAGGACTCTATAAAAGCCAGAGTACATTTGAGCGCTGTAAGTGACGTTGTAGTTTTCACTTTCCTGGGAACTTTTAAAATATCTTTTTCTAAGTTACAAAACAGGGAGCTATAATGGAAACCTATAATTCCCAAGCCTGCACAGGCTGATGGCTGAAACTGCACCTCGCAAGAGTAGGTTTGAGACCAAGGACAAGTATCCAAAGAGGGCTCACTAAATGTCAAGTATGTTTTGGATGCGCTTGTGTTTCACTCTCTCAGCCTATCTCTAGGCTACAGTGCACACTTGATCAAGTGATCTGATATCTCTGTCCTTTGCTGTTACAAGTGGCAGCTTGCTCTGAGTCAGGTGTAGTGATTTTTATAGAGCCCACTTTCTGTCGGGCCTGGACAAAGCAACTTTGCAAATGGTAGCTGGCATGTGGTGACATGTCCAGTGAGGAAGAGGGCAAAAAGGTTGATGGGATCCCTTACAGGCACTGGGAACAGACTTCCTGAGCATGGTATACAAGCAGGACTCTATGGGTCGGGTCTCCAGGTTTTGTGCCAGCAATGCAGAAAATGTAAAAGGATTTCTGGTTCAAGTAAAGAACATTGTGGCTAATTTTTAGAGTTTATTATCTAAAACCAAATTTGAAGTAAATCTCTTTAAGAGGTTATATCACCAGTCAGTCAGCTTTTCTATCCGTAACCAAAAATTCTTGAGATAGAATCACCTCACAAAGAGAAAAAAATGCTTGGTGCTGGTGGCTCACACCTATAATCCCAGCTACTCAGAAAGCTGAAATCTAAGGATGGCGGTTCAAAGCCAGCTTGGGCAGGAAAGTCCATGAGACTCTTATCTCCAATTAACCACCAGAAAATGAAGTGGTGCTGTGGCTCAAAGTGGTAGAATGCTAGCCTTGAGCAAAAAGAGCTCAGAGACAGTGTCTAGGCCCCAAGTTCAAGCCATATGAGAGAGAAAGAGAAAGGGGAGAGAGAAAGAGGATTGTTTTAGTTCACTGTTTGAGATTCCAGTCCCAAGTCAGTTGGCCGAATTTGGCCCAATTGCTTTTAGCTGTGGTGAGGCAGAAGCTCAAGGTAGAAAAATCACAACAGAGCAAAAACTCAACTTCTAGCTAGAAAGCAAAAGAAAGTGAAGAAGAAGGGACTGGAGTGCCATGACCACCCGAGGGACACTCCTCAAGGATCTAAACCCTCCTATGCAGCCTCCTCTCTCTGATTCTGTAAACCAGAATGGCCTTGAACTCATGAGCCTCTTCCCTCCGTTTCCCTAGTGCTGGAATTATTGCTATGCTCCACCACCTGCTTACACTTCATCTCTTAAACATTCCATAACTTCCCAGTAGCCACCTAAAGACCAAGTTTTTAACGCATGGGCCTTGAGGCAAAAAGAGGGGGAGGGGGAGGGCTTTCATTGTCTATGCCCAAACACAGTATCTAGTTATATATAATATGGTGGTTGTGGTTAAGTCAGAAAGATTTGCTCATTGTGGCCTGAGAGAGGACTAAGCTCCAAAGGCACAAACTAGTCACTATAAGGAAGGTGGTCTAAGTGCATGTAGGTGCTGAAAACTTAGTGATTATGCATGTTCAAATTCCATTCCCTACCTTTCCTTGTCTAGGCAAGACATGGACCAATATGTAGAAAAGTCTTCAACAAAAAGCGTACACCTTTCAATTCCTTGAAGCAAAGATTACAGGGCACTGACATTCCTACTGTGAAAAAGGTTCCTCAATCCAAGGTACTGTTACGTTCTTTATTGTTTGTCATTCTAGAAAGAGTACTTCATAAACCCACAGCTGGGCTCTTTGGTTTCCTTTTAGGGGTTTGTATGTGTGTGTGCACGTGCGTGCACGTGTATGTGTGTGTGCGTGTGTGTGTGTGTGTGTGCCAGGACTCTGTGGCTTTAAATCAGGACCTGTGCACGATCCTTTAGCTTTTTTTGTTGTTGTTAGCACTCTGCTTCTTGAATCACAGCTCCAAGGAATGCTTTTTGGTGTTTCATTGGAGATGAGAATCCCACAGAATTGTACTGCTTGAGCTGGATTTGAACCACATTCCTCCAATCTCAGCCTTCTGAGGAGTTAGGATTATAGGCATGAGCCACTGATGCTTGGCTCTGGTTTCATTTGCAATGTTATTTAACTGTAATGTTATTTAACTGTAATGTTATTTAATTATCATCTGCCTTTATTATTTGCTGTATGCTTTTGCTTACTTAGACTTCCAAATCCACTTCACTTTCCAGATGTGGCAAAAAGAATCTTGTTTGTATTTTCATTAGAGTGGCTTTAAATCTAGCAATTAGGAAGAAAGTTGCTTTTAATCTTGCGTCTGCCTTCCTTAAAGTTTTGTTTTGGCTTTTCCTGATTTGTATTTCTTTTCCCTCATTCTTGTGATGTGCAGATTTTTATTACTGTAGTTTCCAAACTCCTTCAAAAATTTCTTTTGGAAAGTATTCGCATTTCTCTTCAACTTTCACAGTCCAATTTCTTACAAATTCAAATTGCAACTCTTTAAAAAACATAATGGCAATCAAGAAGTACCTAATATAAGGTAATCACTGGTGGTTTAATTTCTTAACAGTCTCAACCTGTAAAGAAATCTAACTGGAGACAACAGCATGAGGACTTCATCAATGCAATTCAATCAGCCAAGCAGTGCATGCTAGCCATTAAGAAAGGTCAGCCTCTTCCACCTCCACCGGCCCCAACCATCAACCCAGGTTTGTGGACACTTTTTGTTTTACTTCTGAGGGTATGGTTGACTATGGGACAAATTATCATGCCTTCTACATATCCTAATGTTGGCAGGAAAAATTACCTAGAAGGATTTTTTTTAAATCAGTTAGATGAGTAATCCTATATCTATGTACATTATACATATAAATACATATATATGTAGTGTATGTTATCCTTTTAATCAATGCTGATTTCAATAAAGATTCTGCATTTCCTCCTGTTTCAAATGAGATACAGTCTTTATTCATGGTGTCATTATATAACTCCAGAGACATCATTTACACCTTGGCTAAGGAGCCAGGAACCCATACAGAGCAATCTAAGCAGTTCTGTAATAGTTTCACAAGGTTAACAATCCACAGCTCATTTTCTTAAGGTGATATTCTTTCCTAGTTCACCATTTTATCCCTTTGAAATTGCACAAATAACCCATCAATTTTTTTTCACTTCAAACATTTTATTTTGAAGAACTTCAAATCTAAAGAAAAGGAGTGGTTAACAATGAACATCCAGATGGTTTCTTGTAACATCTGACCATCATTGATGTTGCTGCCTCTTTCTCTCCCTCCCCCTCCCACCCCATCTCCGCCCCCGCCCATCTCAGTCTCTGGCAGAACCATTCAAAGTGGAGTTTCAAGTGGAGCTGTGGCTCAAGTGGAAGAATACCAGCCTTGAGTGAAAAAGCTGTGAGGCCTAGGAATTAGGAAGACCCAGGCCCTAGTTCTAGTCCAAGTAGCAACACCAAAAAAAATCCTAAAGTTCAGTTTCAAATATCAGCCATACTTCATCTGTAATGACTTCAGAACTTTATCCCTTAAGTGCATTCTCCCGCATCACCACAACGCTATGATTACACTTAGAATATAGACTTCTATGTTCCCTGGCTAGCCTAAAAATGTCTTTCAAAGTTCTTTCCTTTCCCTCCCCTCTCCTAGACCACAGTCCAGAACCCAAAGTTTCAATGCAGCCTTCTGTTGTCTCCACCCCTACCAGGCTATTCATGTTGTAAAATGCTTCACTTCCCGCATTCCCACTGCTTATTTAGTCATGTCGATGTTTAATTTGCTTCTCTATCCTGTCTTTCTGTAAAGTAGAAGTTAGGGCTAGAGGCTTAATTAGATTAATGTTAATCCTTTTCAAATATATGATTTGCAAATATTTTCTCCTAACCTGTGTACTGTCTTTTGATTCTCTTTGTGCCTTCAATTCAAATGCAAACCTTTTGACTTTGGGTCCATTCTTTTGGTATCATAGCTAAAAATCATTGCTAAATCTAAAGCCAGGATGCTCTTCTTTGGCTCCATAGTTTTAGCTATTCTCTCTAAGTCTTGAATCTACTAAGGTAAGACTTCAATCATTCTTTTGCAGATAAATAACGTTTTTTTTTTTCTCACCGACATTTTCTTAAGCCAGTCTTGACACTCTTTATTTAAAAAGTCAGTTGGAGCCAGATGCTGGTAGCTTGTACCTATAATCCTATTCAGGAGGCCAAGATCTGAAGATCATGGTTCAAAGCCAGTCCAGGCAGGAATGTCTTGTGAGATTCTTATCTCTGAATAAGCAACTTGAGCAAGCATGAAGCCCTGAGTTCAAGTCTCAGCAACAAAATAAAAATAAAAACAAAAAAATAAAAACAAAATAAAAGTCAGTTGAGGGTGGGCACAATGACTCATGCCTATTATCCTGGCAACTCAGGAAGTAGACATCAGGAGGATCACAGTTCCAGGTCAATCCAGACCAAAAGTTGGAGAGACTCTCCCATTGCAACCAAGATAGACTGGGGGTTACAGAAGAACCAAAGATATTGAGGTATAGCTAATAAGACATTAAATGGGGGGATCAATCCAAAAGAGAAGACGGGGCGGGGGGAGGCAGGGGGAGTTAAAGGGGGAAAAGATCAGAGAGTGGGTGGGATGAAGATGGTATCTGGAAGCAGTCATTTGAGTAGCTGCCTGTGAATCCCACTGGGGATAACAGAGAGAGATTGGTAAACTGAGTAATAAAAGCCAACTATATGTTTTTTTTCACAAGATACACTCTAAAAACATGCGAAAAGCATGGGGAAAGATAGTAAATATGTAAACAATAGTCATACAGTTCAGGTACTGTTCTGAGCTTGGGCAAAGTATACCTCAGTGTATTAACAGAGATACTGATTCCAAAGCTATCTTCATCAAGAAGACTCATCAGGTCTTAATGTTTGTGCGCCCAGTAATAGAATATCAAAGAACAAAAAGTAAAGCTAACAAAACAGGATAGAGAGGTAGATGGATGCAGAGTTAAAAATCTGCACAGGATGAACCATTGTAACAATGATACTCACAAGACACTATGCTGGAAATGAACTTTGTAACTTTGCAGGGGTGGGCAGTAGGGGAAGTAGGGAAGGGATAGTGGGAGAACAATAAAGGAGAGGGTAACAATGGCCGACAGGAAATGTACTCATTACCTTAGTGATGCAACTGTAACCTCTCTGTACAGCATCTTTACAAGAAAATAAAATTTTAAAAAATCTGGAGATTCTATCATTCCTGCTTTAGTAATTGATAGAGATTCTATCATTCCTGCTTTAGTAATTGAGAGAATGCACAGCAAGAAAATCAGTGAAAATATAGGAAAATTGAGTAGCAGCAGCAACTGCTTCTGCCTCATTGAAATCGAGAGCTATAATAGTACACAGAGCAACAATAGCAGAAAACATGCTTCTAAGGTCCCATGGTAGCTGCGAAAGGTGACGCATTCACAAAGCAGGTCTAATTTTCAATTAACTTCCGAGGACTGTGAGCGTACAGAATATGTTCTCTGGCCCCAATAAGATTACATTAAAAATGATAGGGAAAAAATATATGAACATTTTCCCTGAGTTTAGAAACAATGAGGCATTCCGGAACAAACCATGAATTCTAAGAGAAAACTCACGTGATAAATTAGAAAATATTTTTAACTGAATGATAATGAAAACATTTCCTGAAGAGGAAAATTAACATCTGAAATATCTGTATTGGGAAAAGAAAAGCTTAAATCAATCGCCTTAAACTTTCTCCTTAAGAAGTTAGAAAGGGAACAAATTAAGTCTAAATCAAACAGAAGGAAGATAATATAATTCATCATATATCAATTTTTTTAAAAAAAGATTATTTCAAAAGAGGAAATGCCTTTCACAAAGTGCAACAACATGCATATTTAAAGCACAAGGAAGAAAACCCTCAATAAAGTAGACATAAAATAAAAGATGTAAACTGTAGAAAAATCTATTGTTTATATGACACAATGGTAAACACTTTTTCTCATTAGGATCAGGAAAAAAAGTGAGATGTTTGTTCACCTGTTTTGACATTGAACACTATTAGAGACAATCCTTAGTACAAAAGGACAAAAAAACAAGGAGCAATACGTATAAATTTAGAGCAATTTGGCATAATGTTTAGAGACACCAAATTGCAAATCTAATTTTATTCACACACAACATGACCATGGAGTAAACAGAGAAAAAAATCCTGGGCAACTATAAAAAAGCTATTGGAAGGAAAGTGAATTCAATAAGGTGTCAGAATAGGAGAACAACTTTAAAATGAAATTTAGAATGCCATTTATAATAACTTAAAAACATTTAATTCTTAGAGATATATTTAATAAGGCATGCAGAAGTCTGATAAAATGAAAAGCACAGAACATTCCTTCAAGGAATTAAAGAGGACCAAAAGAAACCGTTTATGGGACTTAATATTGTGTTGATCTGTGGATTCAACTTCATTCCTATAGAAATACCTGCAAGTTTTCTTTGCCAACTGGGAGTTGGTCAGCTAGTTCTAAATATACACAGAAATTGAAAGTTTCTGGAAGAGTCACAATTGCTCTAGAAAATAAAGCACAAACAGAATCTTTACACTTTACAGTAATCATCCAATTTAGTACTGGCATATCAAATGACCAGAAAATAAAATCTAGGTACAGACACCCCTCCCTAGTCTATGTACAGCTGGTTTATTTTTAAAAAATAAATCAGAGTAATCCAATGAAAGAATGGATAGTCTTATTAACCAATAATCTTAGCATAACTGGATATCCATATTGGAAACACAAACACTGAGTCTTATAAAAATTAATTCAAGGAAGATTAGTGACCTAAGGGCCCAAACTATAAAAATTCTATACATAAAAATTGATTAAAATATAATGGCAAGATACATTTACTAACATTTTTCCAAAGAAAAGCATTTTGAAGTCAGGCATAGTAGCACACACCTGTCATCTCAGCATTCAGAAGGCTGAGGCAAAAGGATTGTGAATTCAAGGCCAGCCAGCCTGGGTTACTCATTAAGACTCTGTCTCCAACACACAGAAAACACATAAGATACGTGCTAACATGAGCCTCATTTCCTTTACAGCTTTGAAAAATACTATGAATAGAACTGAAAGGCAAGAAGAGCTGGGGAGCAAAAATTTAAACTACATTTATCTGATAAAGGGCTCATCAAGAACATATAAAGAACTCTTACAACTCAATAAGAAGACAATCTACTAAGAAAAAGAAAAGAAGCTAGGGACTGGTGACTCACAGCTTTAATCCTAGCTACTCTGAAGGCTGAGATCTAAGGGGTGTGGTTTCACACCAGCCTGGGCAGAAGAGCCTGTGACACTTTTATTTTCAATTAACCATCAAAAAGCCAAAAGTGGCACCGTGGATCAAGTGAGCGAGAGAGGAGAGAGGGAAGGAGGAAGAGAGGAGAGATTGAACAGACATATCACAAAATAATAATCCTTAGGTACATGAGAAAGTGTTCATCATCAGAGAAATGCAAATTAGAACTACAATGAAAGAACACTGTCTACTCCCTTGAATAGCTAACATTAAAGACTGACACTACAAGTGTTGGCAAGGATGTAGAATAAATGGGAAGCCTTGTTTACTGCTGATGTAAGTTGAAATAGACCTGAGGGAAGCCTGGGGGCGATAGAAATGTAATACAGGGCATTTGGGGTGATTACAGAAATGTATAGGTGACTTGTTGAACTGCACAATTAAAATAGATGCATTGGAGTGTGCATAAATTATTCTTCCAAGAAGTTCACTAGAAAAAGTACAGAAACAAAACCTACAGTAGAATCATCCTATAAGAATTATCTTAAAAATGAATTATTTGAACCACCAGAAAAAAAATTTTCCTAATTGCTTTACTTTTGCCAGTGACGAATGAAAATGCAGCTTAAAATAATGTATCTTCTTAGACCATTCAGTAGGAAAATCTGTGGCCATGATTTTAGCAATGCACATGTACTTTGGTGCAGAATAAAATACATCCTTGATGAGAAATTGCTTCATTTCAACAGCAGAAGCTACAGGGCTGATGGCTACCTTATGGTTCTTTAATTGCATAACTGAAACCATGTCAGATGCGGTGTGGTGTGCGTTTCTCTCATTACCAAGTTGGATCTAAAACGTAGGGATTATTGTTTCGCTTAAAAAAATAACTCCCTTTGCAAGGCCTCATTATGTGTTCAATTAAGTTTTCTTCCTTTTAGATTTTATGCTAAAATGTAGTTTTATAATTAAATTCTTTCCTGTGTATTTAACTATAATTTTATGCAACAAGTAAAATGATTATATCCACTAGCTCATTTTCATCACAATTTGATTACTTTGGTTATGCACATATTTTTTTATTAGTCCTGTAATTTTAGGCTAAATTACTAGAAAATTTATATGCACACACAACTAGAGTTATAAATAATGTGGCCTTATAGGCCTCAGTTTGCAAGTAATTAATTTCCTTTTTTCCTCAGTATGATTCCCTATTTTCCATGACTCAGGTTTTTTTAAAAAACATATATATGTATGTATACATATATTTTTTCTAGGTCTTACTGACTTTACCACTGTCTGTAAATGATTCAGCTTTCCAGGATGTTTTAATGGCTTACAGTATGTGTGATGTGTAATAGTATTGTATAGTGATGTATAATATTTATGACTGGGATTTTCTGTGCGCTTCTGGGGATTTGATCGCCATTTCGCATGACTTCTTAGGAGTCCCAGCACAGTGTTTGCATTTTAAATGATGTTTAGCTAGAGTCAGTCATTCATATCTGTTGTCCCATCTACTTATGAGACAGCAATTGGGAGAATTTTGTTTTGAAGCTAGACTGAGCAACAAATTAGCCAGACCCTATCTCAAAATAAGCCAAATACAGTGGTATGCACCTATCATCTTAGCAATGTGGGAGGCAATGGGTAGCAGGATCACCATCTGAATCCAACCTTGGACAGAAATGCAAGACCTTATCTGAATAATAGCTAACACAAAAGGGGCTAGGTATGGAGGAAGGAAGGAAGGAAGAAAAGAAGGAAGGAAGGGAGAGAGTGAAGGAGGGAGGGAGAGAGTGAAGGAGGGAGGGAAGGAGGGAGGGAGAGAAGGAAGGAAGGAAAGAAAGAAGAAAGGAAGGAAGAAAAGGAGGGAAGGAAGGAAGGAGGGAGGAAAAGAAGAAAGAAAAGGAAGAAAGGAAGAGACAGAAGGAAGAAAGATTTTATTTATTTATTTTTTTGGGGTCCGGTCGTGGGGCCTGAACTCTGGGCCTGGGCGCTGTCCTTCAGCTCTTCAGCTCAAGGCTAGCACTCTACCACTTGAGCCACAGCGCCACTTCCGGCTTTTTTCTTTTTGCTTATGTGGTGCTGAGGAATCGAACCCAGGACCTCAGGCATGCAAGGCAAGCGCTCTACCACTGAGCCACCTTCCCAGCCCTGGAAGAAAGATTTTTAAATGATGCTTGCTTTGGTCCTTTAATTTTATATGAGATCTAGACACTACATTCCCTACAAGAGTCCATTTGTTGTCTGTCTTTGAAATCTACTGAAATAGAACAGTGATTTTTAAAAATTCTGTCAGCATTACCAATAGAGGAAGGAGACGCATGTTCTAATGAGACAAGGACAGAACACAAAGCTCAGTCAGTCATGCCTTGTTCATACGCTTGCTCCAGAAAAGCACTTTTCCATTCTCTGAGCATTTGAAATTCTGCATGTGTCTAACAGCAATCCTGACTACTCATCCCCAGGCATCTTCCTGGCCTGTGCTCTTCCCCCTCCAGCTAGACCTCACAGCCTCCTGTGCTTCCACTCAGGGAACGACTGCCCCTCATCTCAGTTTATCCTCCAGGTGGTAATTGTCCACTTGCATTGTCATTTCTGAGATTTTGTTTGACTTTCTTGCTATTTAGACAGTCTTATCTGTGTAACCCAGAATGGCCTTAAACTCATGATCCTCCTATCTCAGCCTCCTGAATGCTGTTTTACAGTGTATTCTCTCCATCTCTGTCTACGTCTCTGTCTCTCTCCATCTCTGTCTCTCTCTGTCTCTGTCTCTCTGTCTCTCTGTCTCTCTCTCCACTTCTGTGACATTCTTGTTGGCAGGGGGACATGACTGAACTTTGGTCTCCATCACAGTATGTAATGTCAAACATACAGAAGTGTGGCCAGACCGGGGTCAGCTCAGCACTGCCATGTCTAGCAGCCTTGCCTGACCTGAGTCCATAGAAGCAGCATTTCCAAGGTAGAACTTCATTTCTAGCTGGTAAAATGGAAGAAATCATCAAGCTGAGTGCCTGATTCTAGATGGTTTTCTGTTAACATGTAACTAAGTTTTGAATGACCATGGAACTTTCTACTTTGATTTCTCTGAGCGTTTGGACTTCTGTTTGGTAGCTGGAAGCAACCTGGTCCAACCTGCTTGCTTAGAGCAACAGTTTGTGTTTCTAACACCTCTCCTCTTGTGCCAAGCACCTATGTGGATTATGATGCTATCAAGGACTTAGGTGTGTCAAGGAGATAGAGGCCTAACAAGGTTGTGTGAGCAAGAGAGAAACTTGGGCTCAAAACCAGTCAGGCAGGCCCCAGAATCTAAACGTTTATCATTTCTCAGGATTGTCCTGTTGTTGTTCTTTTCTTTTTAAAGACATCCATCACCATGTGAAATTTTTAGTTTTTATTTCTTATTTTTATTGTTATTATAAAGGTGATATACAGAGGGATTACAGTTAAATAAGTCAGGTGCTGAGTACATTTCTTTTTCGACAATGCTTCCCCTTCTCTTACTCTCTCCAAGTTTTTCCCTTCCATCTCCACCTACAAGTGCATTTTCAACTTAGTGTCTAGGAACTACCACTGCTCTATTAGTTCACCCTTTGTCCCACCATTTCTATGTTCCTCTTTGCCCTCCCAAAGACAGATAAATAAACAGGACAAAAAGAAAAGAAAAAAAAACAGCACCAGAGAAAATACCTCATTTCAGTTTCATGGAGTTCGTTTTGATAAATATTATTTTAGGTAATCGGAGGCATATAGGCATTGCCCGTTTGTGTTCCTCCTCTAAGAACATTCTCCTTTGTTCTCATTGTGCATGTTTTTTTTTTATTTCTGTGTTTAAAAACTCCCCCTTGATTACACAGACATCATCTCACCACATGCAAAGTGAAGGCTGAGCCTAGTTCATTGCAGGTGTTAGATGACTGAGTCCGTGAAATACAGGGAAAGGCAGTATTGGTGAATGTTTACATTTGACCAGTATTCATCGTAGAAAGTGATTTGTTCAGATACAAATCTCCAAACAGAGGGAGGAGACGACTTATAAAAAACCCTTCCCTTTAAAGATGCCACTGCATTAAATATCCAGCCATACACGTTAGAATTTTGATTATGCGCTAATCTTAACTGAATCTAAAGTGAGGTTAAGGTAAATGCATTTTCAGACCCTTTCTGGGAGAAAGTTCTTTGCTTCACATAAATCCAAGTTGTGACTCCCTCAAGGTACCTAAATCCAAACAAAGCTGCGCCTGCCCAGCGAGGACCTGGGGCCCGCACATCTTTGCCTGAGCAGCTCTACACCCCAAGCAAGCTGGTGTGAAAGTGGTGTATCTTGTTGCCAGCAACGGTGATGGTAGCTTCCAACTCCTACACTTCGAAAGTAAATCTTATCTCTGTAACTCCATCACTTCCCATACCCTTCTAGCTCACCCTGTCCTGCCACCTAGCTTTTTGTTTTATTTGTTTTCTGGATCTTCTCTTCCCTTTGCCGCCATGCTAACTGCTATTTTTTCCCCATCTTTGTGGTACTGCGGTTTGAACTCAGTGCCTTGAACTTGCTAGGTAGACGGCCTACCACTTGAGCCATAGAACTTGCTTCTCTACACAAGGATTCACTAAAGCCATGCAATTGGAAGTGATTCTAAGTAGTATTGATCTATGATCTGAAGGATCTTATGCAAATATCAAGGGCACACTTTTGAGATGAGTGCCTAGGGAGTAAAAACTTTTCCCCTTCCCCATTCATTAACTGTGCCCTAGCACATCTTTTCTGTCATAGGTGGTGTCAAACCGGAGGTGGGACCTTGTTCTTTAATGTTGGAGCAGAGTTCAGAACTCTTCCGTCTCTCATTTCATATAGCCCATTCCAGAGTTGTCTTTGAAATGGTAATTGCTATTTGTTGCGATCTTTGCATTCAGATTATATTCAGTGCCCATACTGCATGAGGAGGTTTAATGAAACTGCTGCCAAACGACACATCAATTTCTGCAAAGATCAGTCTTCTCGCCGAGTCTTTGATCCTGCCCAGACAGCAGCCAGGTTGGCAGCCAGAGCTCAGGTAAACCTCTCTCCTCCCACAGTGGCTTTGTGTCCTTCGCATGCCTGAGGCCAGCAGGTAGAATTTACCTGGGAATGTCAGTAGTTTATCGTGCTACATGTAAGGAAATGCATTGCTATCACTCTCTCCACGGAATCATCTTTTCCAGGGTGTGCTTTCTAGCAGGCAGAGAAATATACTACTGTCACTGAAAAAAAAAAAGTCACTGAAGTGTTGAAAGCCTCTTAGGGAGAATGTAATATACAAAAGTACTTAGGTAGCATTATGCTAAAACCCTGTTTATCCAATGCTGATTATGAGCCCAAGCCACCTTGATAAGATTGTCCCTCAGAATGGAACTACTTCAGCTAAAAAGACACCCCACAGGGTTATGGTCCACTAGCGAGGAGGGTCTTCTGCCTTTTTATTTAAAGGCACGGAAGCTGCAGGTGAAAGGCGGTATGTGAATAAATGCAAGCAGGTCTTACAAGTGGGTAAAAAATGCCCATCTGAGCTGGGCAATGATAGCTTTGCAATCACAAAAAACAGAGCTGAGCAAACAGCCCAGGGCACATAACTCACAGTATAGTTAATGAGAACCATTAGCTTCAGAAACACAGCCAGCACCTAGAGAAGGATTAAATTGGTCTCAATATTTGAACAGTACACAGCATGTTTAGAAAGCTTTCCCTGAAATCCAGTATCTAATGGATGTGGGAATTTTCCACCACTAGCATATTCCATAGACACAGAATGTAGGCTCTGTCTCCACAGACAGGAGGGAGTGACTGAATATCTACTGAATATCAGACACTGCTTGGTACTGCTTGATCAGGGATTTGCACTTCAGACCTTCAGACTAAAGGTGTGACTCACATTATAGAGCACAAGCCAAGTAAGTGTGAAACCCTGAGTTCAAATCCCAGTACTGCCAGAGAAAGGAACCTGGAGAGAACTCAGCAGGAGGGTGGTTTGGTTGTCACGTGTGGGAGAGCTGTGGAATGACCCTGGTGGTTTTTGTTAACTATGGAAATGAGCTCAGCAGCCCAGAGAGGGGCAGGGATGAACGGGTGCACAAAATGTCCAACTTGTGGCCTGAGATGCTCACCCAAAGCATGGTGTGTCTGGGAGACAGTGCTGGGATTGGAACAGCAAAGGGGGACAGCAGAGCTAGATGAGCTAACATTTCAGCTAAAGATTGAATTGATTCTACAGATAACTCTAAAGTCTGCGGAAAGCTAGGTCAGAGAGGCTGGAAGTAGGAACCAGAATGTCTCCAGGAGGCCAGGAAGTCATCTTCCCACCTGTCATCATGCCCCTTCCCCCTGCTGTGTTGTGCAGGATGGTTACCTTAGATTTCTGTCCTGCTCTCTGTGTTTGTGCTTGTTGGTTTTGCTTTGGTTGTTTTCTTTCCTTCTTATTTTTTTTGTCTGTTGAGGCTCACTAGGGAGCTAACCTGGAACTCGCGGTCCTTGAACCTCAGCTTTGCAAGTGTCAGGATGACAGGTATGTGCCACAATGCCCAGAAGATCTGATTGTCTATTTGTGGCTGCCAGCGTCATCCTGTAGGTAAGATAGAATGGTTCAACCTTGAAACCTGGAAATGGCTTTTTAGAAAGATCACTTTTACAGTTGTTATCAAGAGGGTTTACGGGAGATCAGCAAGGAGCTACAGTTCAGGGAGAGAATGAAGGTCTAGAGTAAGAGGGCTCACAGGAGAGTGAAGGGGAGATTGGGTATGGAATGTCCGTTCTGCTTATGGTCTCATGTTGGTGTTCAAAGTTTCTAATTTTAGACTATTTCTGCTCACAGATTTGGGAGGATTAGGGATGAGCAGCCTGCGCTGTAAATGTAGGAACACAAGTAGATGGAAGGTATATGTGTACTGGAAGGTGACGATAAATAGAGATTTAGAGATTTACTCTTCACCTGAGGTAGGGTAGAAAATAGTGCCAGTCAAAATAGCCAGGATTCCTTGATCAGTAGTCAGGGCCTCAATTTCAACTCTGTAGTTTCTTATTTGTAGGGAACGTCTTTAGGATTCAGTTTGTTGTTGAGTATGTGTACCTTGCTGAATTCTCAGGGATTATAGCTCATATAAGAAGGCTTTCTAACACCAAGGGTTCCTCTGCCGGTCTTCCACATCATCCCTCCCTCTCCCCCACTCCAATAACCCTGTCCTTTTACAGGACTGTGAGACTCCCTTGAACTCCCATTCAGCCTAAGCTTAGAATTTTCTAAATGCAGTTCTCTTTCCACCTTGGACAGCAATAGAAGACAAGTTATATTTCTGCAAATAGCTCTTCTAACTAGTCCATGAGGTTAGTGGGCATTGATGGAGCCAACAAGGGCACAAGGAAGCCATGAATGGAAGTGGTTTCTTATTTGTTTGTTTGTTTTTTTATTCCTGAAGAAGGCCTGTTGGCTGGCCCAAATGCAACCAGTGATTTGGCCCCATTCCTCTTCTTGTTCTTCAGAACTAAGTGGTGACTGGGAACACAGAAGAGAACACTCTCTGAATTCCTTCTCTCGCTGTCTAGTCTGTCTGAACGGCAGTGTTTGCTCTATTCTGCCAGTGCCCACCAGTCTGGGGCCTTGCCTAATAGTGAAGTTTATTTCAGAGATCCAAGAAGAATGCTTCAGTTTTAAAGGGCCTGTTCATGGCACTGCCAAAATGTGCTTCTATTTTAAACATAATCTACTTTTTTTTTTTAAAAAAAAGTGTCATCCTTAACCAAAAGAGACAAATATGGAGCTCTAAAAATAACTTTCTTAGCCAGGTGCCATTGGCTCACACCTGTAATCCTAGCTACTCAGGAGGCTGAGATCTGAGGATCATGGTTGGAAGCCAGCAAAGGCAGGAAAGTCAGTGAGACTCATATCTTGAATTAACCAGTAGAAAATCGAAAGTTGTGCTGTGGCTCAAAGTGGTAGATTGCTAGCCTTGAGCAAAAGAGATAACACCTAGGCCCCGAATTCAAGCCCCACAACTGACAAAAAATAAAAATAGCTTTCTTGAATTGGATGGCACTCCTTGCTCTAATCTCACAGCCATCCATGTCCGGGTGGAAATTCCCACCCAGAGTAGCAGGTGTTCACCACATTGGCATTTTCACAGACCTGTGCTCATCTAACCATTCTGCTGCTTCTCTGCAGTTATAAGGGTGGCCGGGGCTATTGGAATTCCATGCCCAAAACATTTATAGCTTGCCAGTCTCTGTTTTTTTTCCCCTTCCCTGTTCATTTGAGAAAACAAAATAATTCTTCATTCAGGTGTCATAAAAATTTTCAGTGTTCCATAACTATGTCTTTATTGACATCGAGTGATCTTTTTAATGTCTCCATACAACAATTTCAAGCATAAATATACTAACCCCAATCCCAAAGACATGATTATGGAATGTAGTCTCCAAACCCCAGTTATGGCTTTGGTTACTAGTAAGGACAAGACCCCAGGTAAATGAGACACAGGACATGTGTCAGACTCTGCCTCCAGGTGCAGGGTCCCTGCAGATGACTCTAATCTGAGGCTGGAAGTGGAAGCAACTTTACCTCCATTGTGGTGCCTGAGGTTATAATGATAATATATTTCTCTCTGTGTGTCCCTGTCTCTGAATGTCTCTCTGTCTCTGTCTCTCTGTCTCTGTGTGTGTGTCTTTCTCTGTGTCCCTCTTTCTGTCTCTGTCTCTCTCTGTCTCTGTCTCTCTCTCCCCTGTAGGGTAAGGCTCAGGCCAATCCTAAAAAGGAACCAACTGTGACCAGTGCTGTAGGCGCTTTGCTACAGAACAGGGCCATGGAAGACATGAAGGGGGTCTCAGCCAGGTCAGGTGAGTGCCAGGTAAAAGGTCAGAGGGTGCCATTGCTGGCCTTGGGACTCATCAATTTCAGACAAAACCAAATGTCATCCAATGTTGCTTTTGGACATAAATGACATGTGGGTTTGTTTGAGGTTGGAGCTTGTCTTCCTAGAGGTAATATTTTTTTTAATTCATCAGAATTACTTTATGTTGTTAATGGGCAAAATGATATTCAATTATAACAACAGAAGTCTAGAACCAGAGGTCCAGTCTACAAACAATGAAAAGTGATCGAGACCATGTGTCAATGCTGTATTGAAGAATTTCCATTCTAGAAATCATTTTTTCACATAGTAGTAAAGCGTAATGAGCATGAAATACTGACCATGTGTCCAATCTGTTTTACACAATTCCCTCAGTAGTCTTAAAATAATTTTCTCTGTATTTTATAGAAAGTGAAACTGGAAAAAGCCTCCATTATTTTACTAAGAGACACAGCTAGTAAACCGGCAGCCTGATGTCTCTCTTCGTTAAACTGCATTAATAAATGGAGGGAATCTTTAAAAATATATATTAGTGTACACTAATTGCACAAAAGGGTTTCCTTGTGAAATATCCATACATTCACATCATGTACTTTGATCCAATTTACCTCTTTTATTACTCTACTTCCCTCACTCTCCTTCCAACTGAAAACATTATTTTTTTCTTTTTTGCCAGTCCTGGGGCTTGAACTTAGGGTCTGGGTACTGTTCCCGAGCCTCTTAGTACTCAAGACTAGCACGCTACCACTTGGGCCACATTGCCATTTCCAGTTTTCTGGTGGTTTATTGGAGATATGAGTATCATAAACTTACCTGCCCCAGCTGGTTTCAAACTATGATCCTCAGATCTCAGCCTCCTGAGTAGCTAGGATTACAGGCTTGAAGCACTTCGCCCAGTTTTAAAACAGTTTTTGAATTAGTAGTTTTAATTCATTGATTTATAGTAGGCTTCTTTCACAAGCTTTTTTTTTCTTTTGTTCTTACCAGTCCCTAGTTTTAAGCTCAGGGTATTGTGTTTAACTGGCTAGCTTGTTCAACTGATGTACTATTACTTGAGCTACATCTCCGGCATGGCTTTTTGCTTATTAATTTTTGGAGATAGATTCTTGAAGACTTTTCTGCTTGGGCTGGTTTTGAACTGGTGATCCTCAGGGTCCTAGACCTCTGAGGAGCTAGGATTACAGAGATATAGCCAACCTGGCTTGCTTTGCTCTACATCTTTCATGCTTCCACATGAAGTTTCTGATTGGTTTATATATTTCCATTTCAGTGAAGAAAGATATTGGGATAGTGCATTGTTGGTGGCAGTGTAAACTTGTTCAAGCATTCTAGAAAGCAGTATGGAGGTTCCTCAAAAGACTCCACATAGAGCTCCCCATGACCCAGCAATCCCACTTTTGGGCATTTACCCAAATGATCACAAACAAGGCCATATTAAAGCTACCAGCACAACTATGTTTATTGCAGCGTTATTTGCCATAGCTAAGCTATGGAACCAACCCAGATGTCCCTCAGTAGATGAATGGATCAGGAAAAAGTGATATTTATATCTCTATCTCTATATCTATCTCTCTATATAGATATATATATTAGGATTCTATGCCTCCCCCAGAAAGAATGATACTGCTCCATTTGTTAGGAAATGGAAAGACTGGGAAAAATTATATTAAGTCAAGTAAGCCAGGCCCAAAGAAACATAGGTCCCATGGTTTCCCTTATCTGCAATAACTAGTCTAGGACAAGCAAAAAGGTCAAAAGCTATGTACATATGATCATATAAGATGATGCTAAGTGAAATGAACCCCAAGATAGGGACACAAGAGGTTTTATCTTTCTTGCTGTTGTTTTTAATGTACTTATAATGTACTATGTGATTTTTTTTGTTTCTCCTGGATGTTCTTTCCCCATGGTATAACTCCTGTTTTCACTGTATTTGATTCCAGTGCCCTGCATCTTGTATATACATTTTTTCTAATTTGGAGAGGGGAAGGGAAATAACAAAATGCTGAAATAAGGATGCAGGTTGACCCATTGTAACACTAAGATGTACAAGACACTATGTTGAAAACAAACTTTATAACTTTGGGGAGGGAGAAGTTGGGGAGGTGAGGAGGGAAGGGATGGTAGGGGAAAAACAAAGGAAGGGGTAATAATGCTGGGTAGAAAATGTACTCATTGCCTTACTCATGTAACTGTAACTCCTCTCTATAGTATCTTTACAATAAAATATATATTAATAAAATAAAATAATTGGGATTTGGATGGGGGTTGTATTGGGTCTGTAGATTCTTTTTGGTAGTATTATATAGACATTTTCACAGTATTAATTTTACCAATCTAATACAATAACACTTCTTACTTTCATCTTTCTTTTTTTTCTAAACTCTTAGTTTGACAAAGGGTTTATCAGTCTTTTACTGTTTTTGAAGAACCAATTTTCATTTTCATTTGGTTCTAGGATTTTTTAAAAAATTCCCTACTTCTTCAATGATTATGGGTCATTCAACAGTCCAGTCTATGTTTTGGGTTTGTTTTTTTTTTTTTTGGGTTGGTCGTGGGGCTTGAACTCTGGGCCTTGGGTGCTGTCTGTCAGCTCTTCAGCTCAAGGCAAGCACTCTACCTCTTGAGCCACAGCACTACTTCAGGTTTTCTGGTGGTTAATTGGAGATAAGAGTCTCCCGGAAGCCAGCAACAGAGGCTCACACCTGTAATCTAGCTACTCAGGAGGCTGAGATCTGAGGATCACAGTTCAAAGCCAGCCTGGGCAAGAAAGTCCATGAGACTCTTATCTCCAATAAACCACTAGTAAACCAGAAATGGCGCTATGGCTCAAGTGGTAGAGCACTTGCCTTGAGCTGAAGAGTTGAGAGACAATACCCAGGCCCAGAGTTCAAGCCCCACAATCGACTAATAATAATAATAATAATAGTCTCACAGACTTTCCTGCCCAGGCTGGCTTTGAACCACGATCCTCAGATCTCAGCCTCCTGAGTAGCTAGTATTACAGGCGTGAGCCACTGGCGCCTGGCCCAGTTTATGTTTTGAATGTGTTTTGTAATAGCTTTCCAGTTTTAGTCCATTATGGTATGATAGAATAATGGGAGCATTTCAGCTTTCTTACTTTTTTAAGATTTGTTTTATACTGTAAAATATCTTTAGAAAATTTCATGGACTGCTGAAAATAATGTATAGTGTCCAGCTGTTGAACAATATATTCTGTAGATGAATTCCATTTGGCGTTAGTGTCATTTAATTCTGATTTTTTTCATCAACTTTTTGTCTAGATGATCTGCCAGTGAGAGTAGAATAGTAGAGTCACTGTTACTGTTTTGGGATATATCTGTGCTTTTATGTCCAGGAGAAGTTGCTTTTTTTTTTATTAAGTGTGCCAACATTTTTGGTTCATATATGTTTACAGTTACCTCTTTCTGTTAAGTTGTTCCCTTTATCAATATGAAGTCACCATCATTGTCTCTTTTAACTAATTTTGCTTTGAAGTCTGTTTTGTCAGATATGAATGTATCTCTTCTTGCTTGCTTTCAAGCTCCATTTTCTTGGAAAAAACTCCATTTGTTTTACTGTAAGCCTATGTTTGTCTTCTGTAGAAAGAAGTTTTGTTTTTTAAAGTCAACTTGCCAGTCTGTGTCTTTTGATTGGCAAATTAGGGCCATTAACATTCAGTTTTAACACTGAAAGCTGTTCATTTCCTGTCATTTTTTTTGGTTCTGTAATATTTTCTTCTTTCCTAATCCTCATTTGTTAACTTACCTGCTGGAAATTTTTCTTCCTTGAATTTTCCTTGTTGCATTTATCTTACTCTTCTGCTAAAAGGATTCCTTTAAAGATCTTCTGCAGTGAAGATTTAGTGGTCATGATTTTTGTTTTGTTTTTTGCAATATTTTTATTTCTTCAATTTTTAAATTTTAATTTTATTGTCAAGGTGATGTATAGAGGGGGTACACTAACATAAGTAAGGTAGTGAGTACATTTCTTGTCAATGTTGTTACCCTCCTCCCTCATTTTTCTCCCACTTCCCTCCCTTCAATTTTAATGGAAGATTTACTGGGTACAGTATCTAGATGGCAGATATTTTCTTTCAGAGTTTCTGTTGAAACTGACTTGGTACATCTGTTTTGCAGCATTCAATGTTCTTTTCTTATTCTGTATATGAAATGTTTCTGGATTTGGAAAATGTTTCTTTTTTTTTTGGTCAGTCATGGGGCCTGAACTGTGGGCCTGGACTCTGTCCCTCAGTTCTTCAGCTCAAAGCTAGTGCTCTACCACTTGAGCCACAGTGCCACTTCCAGCTTTTTCTGTTTATGTGGTGCTGAGGAATCAAACCCAAGGCCTCATGCATGCAAGACAAGCACTCTACCACTGAGTCACCTTTCCAACCCTCTACTATTATTTTTATTTAATGTTTTCTAGTCCAATCATTTAGCTTGTACCTCTTCCTTCTATGCCTATGGTTTGTAGGTTTGGTCTTTTAATAGTTTCTCAGAGGTCTTTTTTTCTGTTTTGTTTTTTAATAAGTTTTTATTGTGAGAATATTGTACAGAGGAGGGGATACAGTTACATGAGCAAGGTAATGAGTACATTTCTTATCAAGCATTGTTATCTCCTCCTCTGTTTTTCCCCTACTATCCCTTCCCTCCCAACTACACTACCCAGCCCCCTCCTCCCACCTAAATTGTAAAGTTCAGTTTTTGACATAGCGTCTTATATGCTCCATTTGTATTTCTTTTTCTTTCTTTATCATATCTGAATGTTCTAATTAATATACCTTGTCTGCAGGAGCTAATATTCTGTTTTCAATTTGATACAGTCTACTGCATAGTGTTTCAAATGAAATTTTTAATTGTATTGTTTGATTTTTATTTTCATTTCCAGAATTTCTTTTCCAGGAGTTTCATATCTTTACGAAATTTCTCTTTCTTTTTTTTGGGGGGGGGCAGGGGGGGTATGGTCATGGGGCCTAAACTCTGG